ATTACCAGTTTTGAATAAACTTTTCCTTTATTAAATTGTTAAAAAGCTTATCTCATTACAAGAATAGTTTTAGACCCTGTRTAATTTTACGGTTGGAATTGAGAAAAATAACTTTGTGTGAAATAAAATCCACTTAAATACATGTATAAATTTTGAAATCATACAAAAAATATAAATATTTGCGACATTTTTGAGCATAGTTTCTATCATTTTCGTTGCTAAATAAAAAAATCTGGTGTGAACATCACACGACTTTTCTTATCCTATTTATTTGGAAAACATCCTAATAACGACAATAATTTAGTGTGACATTTGCGTTAGTGCCACCTGCTGGATTACACGCGAAATAGATCATAGTTGTCGCGGGTTCAAGTTTGGGGTGCAGTTTTTTTTTTTAGTTGGTACCGATTATTATTATTATTTTATCACAACTTTTTTGTTGTCTTGAAGCTATAATTCGTCCAGAAATGTAAAAATCTGGGTAGGTCAAATTTCAGCCGATTACAATACTTTCCTTATAGGAAAGTAAAAAAGATTCAAATTGTCTTATTCATATAACAAAATTAGAAAAAAATCCTAACATGCAATAATATTTTCTAAATTGCTTATTTTGCTGCTTTAATTTTATATTTTTTTAAACCTCCGTCAATAAAAAAATAAAAACCAATCAATTTGTAGCAACAATAAATATTAATTAAATGTTTTTTAGCTTCATTTAATTCAACAATTTGTAATTGCTGGTGTGTGAATTTTAATCAACAATACAAATTTTTAACTGTTTAAAAATTTCTATATTAATTAAATTAATTAATTATGTTTTACTTTATTAAATTGTTAATAAACTTAGTAGGAGTTTTAGTATGTTTTAGGTTTAATCTAGGTGTAATATATAATTTTTTTCTACAATTTAACAAGACAGGACAAAAATGCGCTGTCAATTTTTTCTTCAAAAACACTCATAACGCATAATAACAAAAAAATAACTGTGTAAAAGTAAATGTACTTAAATTCATGTATTAAAATAAATGTTAAAACCTTATACAAAAAAGTATAACTTTTTGSGACATTTTAAAGAAATCAAAATTTGAGTATACAGCAAAAAATATCTTTTTAACTGCAAACGTCACAAAAGAGACCACTTTTATGACTAAATGTGCCAAGTAAAAGTTTTATCTTTCAGCCATGAAGTAAAAATTTTAAACGTTCATACTTTTATACCATAATATTATTGACATTTACAAATGGTGTTTCTTTCTTGTCTTTTTCGCTGCTTCAGCAATTTCTGGAGAGTTATAATGTAGATCAGCATTTGACATTTTGCGCTACCAACTGCACTAGTTAAATCAATAAACATTTTTGAAAACCTCAACAAAAATTGCGATGTTAATAAGCATACCCCTTATTTTGTTAATTTACTTCCTAATTATAGTGTTGCTCTTTACTCTTAACCTGAATACGTTTGCGGCTAAAATAATATATGTTATTTAAAGTAAAARTAAGTTTATGTGGCTTGGCTGAATTATTTGCCTCACTACGTTCGGCAAAGTAACCGTTTAGCTTAGCTACATAAAGTATCACTTTACTCTTAATA